TGAACCCTCACTAACTGCTCAGAAACCCACTTCAGCAAATCTTCCAGCTACAGATCCCCCATCAGATCCTCAAAAACCCACCTCAGAAAATCTTCCAATTTCAAAGCCCTCACTAACTGTACATAAACCCACTTCTGCAAATGGTCCAAGTACAGTGGTCCCACCAACTCCTCAGAAACCCACCTTAGCAAGTCTTCCAGCTAGCAGCCCCCTACTAACTGCTAAAAAACCTGCTTCAGCAAATCTTCCAGCTACTGAACCCCCATCAGATCCTCAAAAACCCCCCTCAGAAAATCTTCCAATTTCCAAGCCCTCACTAACTGTACAGAAACCCACTTCAGCAAATATTCCAAGTACAGTGGTCCCACCAACTCCTCAGAAGCCCACTTCAGCAAATCCTTCAGTCACAAAGGTCCCAGCAACAGTACAGAAACCCCACATATCAAATGCTCTACCTACAGAGACCTCATCAGCAGCCCAGAATCCCATCGTGGCAAATGCTTCTGTTGCGCAGGCCATACCGACAGCCCAAAGATCCTCCACAACAAAAGCTTCATTTACACAGAGTCTTTCAACCAAACAAAGATCCACTGCTGTACATGCCCCAGTGACTAAGAGACTCCAGACTACACACACCTCTACCCCTATTACAGCCACTCGGGGTCTAGCTGTTCCCAGGGCAACCACACGTTTTCAAGCAACAAGCACATCTAAAGGAAGAGGAACACTTCCTTCTTCAGGTCAGTTGGCACTGTTCATGTTGGGTATGGATTTAATGTGCTATATGGTGCCATAATGGTGGAAATGTGAACTTGACCAAGTTAGCAAAATTAAATCAGTCTCTGACTTATTGTGCAGCTAGATTTTTTTTTGGTTTTGTTTTGGATGCTCATGAGTCTTGGTATGGTACATTGTAGGATAAGCAGTGGACTGCTAACCATAAGGTTGACAGTTCAAACCTACCAGCTGATTCTTGAAAACACTATACAGAGTCACTGTGAGTCGAAACCAACTCAGTGGCATTTAACGTGTTTTACTTTCGTCAGAGACAGACTTGGATGGCGCCAGAGCAAATCTTTAAAAATAAAAAATTTACAGGAAAGTAAAAAGATTGTGGTCCCACAAAAATCATACTAAATTAGGTTGGTGGAAAAATTCTGATTTTTATAGTAACTTTAAAAATCATTGAATTCTGCAACACCCCATGCGAAGAACCAAATCTGGTTTATGCCTGGCTCTGGTTTACTGACCAACCCATTCCTCAAGCATGAGAAAGAATCTCTCCAAATTCCCTGTTGTTGAAGTTAAGTACCGTGGAGTCGGTTCCGACTCAAATTCCCTAGAGTTGTTAAGTTAGTAAAGCATCTCAACAGTATCTATTAAGTAGTTGAAAATACAAAGATTATTTCAACTAGTTTGTATTTCTACAGGCTTTTTAAATGAAAGTTTTAATGTAAGTGGAGTGAAGCGTGTTGTAGGCTTCTAAAACAGCCATCAACTGTGTGGATGAAACTTCTCTTACTAATTATTGCTGCTTCATACCACCAGGCTGTCTTGTCTTATAACTTGCCTAATGTATATTGTTTTTATAGACTTTTTTGTTTGCTGATAGGGACTATCTAATTATTTTGTTTTTCCTCACTGGAAAAAATTCAGTAGGCCTGAGTCAGGATTTTTGTATATATGAGTTTCCCTTTGTGGCACAAACAATAAAGCCCTTGGCTACTAGCTTAAAGGTTGGTGGTTCAAACCTACCCAGCAGCCCCACAGAGAACAGGCAGGGTGATCTGCTTCTGAAAGGTCACAACCTTGAAAACTCTATGAAGCAGTTCCACTCTGCATGCATGCCATCCTCATGAGTTGGAATCGACTGGACCACTAACAACATATATTAAAAAGTTAAAACGATTTTATATATAAATATATTTCATTGATTTTAACTTTTGAATGGAAGGCAGCACACATCTAGAACACTGTATATAACATATTAAGCCCAAAGAGCTCAACAAGTTATATACAGCAAATATTTGTCCAAATAGAGAACATTACCCACACTTCAGATTTGCCCCCCACTTTCCAAATTCTTTGCTAGGCCTGAATACAAGCAGGAGTGTGACTTCCTGCTTTCTATAACACCTGGTCCTCACCTCCGTGTATACAAGACACTTCCAACCTCTGGGTAAGCTTCTGCCAGCTTTAGGCCACACTTCATTGCCTAAATCTTCAAACCATTGTTGTTAGGTGGTGTTTTAGTATTTTGTCCAGATTTTCCAATTGTTATGTTGGAGTCTATTTGTCCATTACCAATGTATTTTTTTTTTCTCAATTATCTTTGTTTGTTTGTTTTTAATTTAAGGTTTTATTGTGAATTGAGTGAAAGTTTACAGGGCATATCATCAGTTTTACATTCAACAAATCATATACCTTGTTTCATTACATTGATTATAATCCCCTCCA